TCACAGATTTGCGCGCCTGCAAGCCCACAAGAAGATTGTCCTGCTGGGCGATACGTGCGATTCTTCCCAAATTCTCGAAGCAGGCCGAAAATGCAATGTGCTCGTGCACGAGGTATGGTTGCTCAAAAGTCGAGAATCTCTCGGATTGGTGCACCGCAATTTTTTGCCAGAGAGATTCGACTCACCGCGCTCGTTCGCTCTGCCAGTGCACGTACAGTGGAGCAATGTCCCCAGAAATGGCGGTTGGGCGTGGACACAGCACCTCCACGATGACAGGCGCCTTCGCAAAGGCCATCGAAGCCAAGAAGCTGATTCTGACTCACTTTAGTAGTCGGTACAGCGATGGCAAGGCAGGGCAGGCCGATTCCGAGCCGGCAGCTTTTGCGGCGACGCGCGAAACCACGAGCGCTGCAGGAAGCGCTGAAGTGACCGACATTGCCGGTTTGGTGGCTGAGGCACAAGCTGCTTGCCCTGACACCGAAGTAGTTGCAGCAAGTGATTTTGCCATCTTTACGATTGACTGAGGTGTGTTGACAACAGTTGACAAAACAAAACGGCAAATCCAAAACTGCACAATCCGCATTCCCATTTCAGCATTACAAGTACTGTCGAAATGAGAACAATCAAATTTTTAATCGTTGAAACCGTGCATGCGAATCGTGGTGAAGCATAGGTCATCGGGGGTAAAACAAAAAACAGAGAGAAAAAAAAAAACGAAACAACCAGTCACTTTGTGTCGTCAGGAATGAAACGAGCGGAGCGCCTTAGCTGGCTTGGTACAGCGTGCTGAAAGCAACACTGCCACGGTTCGTCTTCTTTTTGAGAGTGGACATGGCCTGCTTCTCTTGGGCGACGAGCTTGCTGGCTGCTTGCCGGTCGATTTCCTTGACAAATGATTCGTGGAAGCGCCCAGACTTTCCACGGCACATACCTGTCGCAATGCAGAAAAGCAGCGGACGAAGCAAGACAAGAAATGCAACGAGTAGTCAGGAGCAGGTCGGCAAGGCGCAAGAAGAACTGATGCTCAGCGAGTGGCTTGGCGTACCTTCCCACCAGCCGTCGGCGCCTCGATGCGTCACGAGAACAATATCGCCAGCGTTGAATTTCAGATCGAAAGCGCCTGAAACGTTGCAATTTGGGCGTGGCGTGAAACGGGTGAGCGAGAGACATCATCATACAAGCATCGCAACAAAAGCACCAACGCAATCCGCCAACACAAACCTGCATTGACAGGCTCATAGTTCATCATTGCTTGGGCATGAGCGAGGACAACCGGGGCCACACTCCCGAGTGCTGAAGCGGACGCCGATGTCGGAGCACTCAGAGTCGGAGTGGGTGGAGCGCTGGATGGTGGCGTGGACAGCGATTTCACTACAAAGGGACAAAGAAAATGCAACAATGAGGTTTGAGGCTGGCGACAAGAGGGAGGGGCATTGTCGAGAGGAAGCATCTCGCGACGAAAAAGCTTTACAAGCATTGGCCATTTTCTTGGCTTCCTTTTTGCCGACTGTCTTCCGTGTTGTGGCCAACATGCTCGATTTCTAAAGTTGAAAGGGACAAGGAACGGGAAAAAAAACGCAGCACACTCGAGTCAAAACTGCCGGGATGAGAGAGAAACAGAGGCGACCACCACAGAAACTCACAATCGCCTCGTCGCCTAGACCGCAAGCAGCTTGAATCGACTTGACCCACAAGTGCATCGTGAGCTGGTCCTCAGCCTGTGGCACGAGAGAATTTCACAAAGTCAGGTGAAACAGGGCCATCATCATCATCATCATCATCGTCATCATCATCATCATCATCATCATCATCATCATCATCATCATCATCATCATCATCATCATCATCATCATCATCATCATCATCACCATCATCATCATCATCATCATCATCATCATCATCATCATCACCATCACCATGCAACATGCAACATGCAACGAGCAAGTGAAAAACAAACCTGCAGCAGATACTCCTTGCCGTCCGCTGTTTGCACCAAGAACACGTTTTGCCGTTTCTTGTACGTGTAGGCAATATCGGTGCGACTGCCCGTGAGGTCCAATCGGAATTTGAGCTTTGGAAACTGCAAACGCAAACAATACAAGTCAGTGCTTTGGTTGTCCCAGCCAGCATCAGCCAGCCCGGCAGGTCAAGCAAATTGGCAGCCCTCACAGCAGTTTTGGTAATGTCCATGGTGTAAAAGTTGAGCGAAACATCGCGAATGGCCTCGTTTCCATTCCACATGTGCACCTCGTTGGTAAAGACCAAAAAGTTGCGCTTCCAAGAGCTTTCCGAGCTTCCTGACTCCGACAAAGCAGAGCAAAGTTCGCAAAAAGAGAATTGCAATCAGCATCAAACGAAAACCAATCCCACATCTCAGAGGACAAAGGACAACCCAATCGAAAAAGGCAAAAAGCAAAAGAAAACCCCCAAACGCGGTGCATACCTTTCTTCTTGCACCGATTGAACCAGCCCTTGAGATCGTTGTTGACGACGTCCTCTCCCTCGGCTCGCAGCTTCACCAGCTCGCGTTGCACAAAGTCCAGCCGATCGGACTTGTCGCGGAAATCGGCTTTGGCGGCGGCAATGGCGACCTTGTCCTTCTTCCGCTCGCCAGCGAGTTTGTTGAGCGCGTCCAACGAGAATTGCTTTTCTTTTTCTGCTGCAGCAATGGCAGCTTGAAGCTCCTCCATTTGGGTCTGAAGGCGAGCAGCCTTTTCGTGAGCCACTGCCTGGGGATCTGGGGTAGGGCTGGCGGGAACGTCGGGCGAGGCAGCCAGGGTCGATGCAGCTTGCCCAAGTGAGCGCATGGAGGCCACGGACGCTGAGCTGGGAATGGCGTTCGGCGCCTTGGGCTGCGGAGCTTGCTGGGAGGAGGGCATCTCGTGGTCGAGGACGAAGACTACAGCATCGTCAGTGAGCTGGCAGTCAGCCACAGTCGACGGGTTGCGCAAGGGCCGACCGATGCGCGTGAGCTCGATGAGTTGCCACGAGCTGAGGCCGAAAAGCTCCGCAAGCTGCACCTTGACTTCGTAGATGTTGCTTGTAGGAAGGACTTCGAACGGGACATCGTCACCTGTGGTGCAGTTTACAAGGCAGTTTGTGAGCGCGAGAACCGCATGCCATTTAAAAAGAGAGAAGCAGAAAAGCAGCGAAGCAGTGAAGCAGTGAAGCA